GGGCGTGCCCAACCTCCCCGCCCCCCTCGCCCCCCCCCCCCCGCCGTCCCCCGGATGCTCTTGGCGCGGGGGGGGGGGGCCCCCCCCCCCCTTCTCATATCTCAGATTCCTTAGTCTACTGCTCTCAATCCAGCGAGACTCTTGATCAGTTCCATCTTGTTCGGAGTAGAATCATGCTCACTAAGCGTTTGTGAGACCATCATATCAAGACGGAAAACCTGTACTCTGACTTGATTGAGTCTTTCCACGTGGCTATCATTCATTCGGCAGCCAGCGTTATATGTTGAGCCAGTTATGCAGAACCTAGATGGATCGCAGATTCGACATGGTTAACCTGATAGCAGAGTTGAATCGTCTTCGTTACCGCGTGATAATAATTTGCTAATCCGTAATATCCAGCTGAGGCAACAGCAACTGCCTTAGGGTTATGTTTTATCCTTATTTGTCCAAGTTGGGTCAGGAGGCTAAGGTAAACATCGCGAAAAGGGGCATCATGGAGTCTGGTCGCAAGCCTATTCCTTCATCTATGAAAGAACCTTTCGCAAAACTCCACAACAGCCTCAATCGACAAGCTCCAGGCCGTGTGGCTCAATGGCAGAGCGTTACTTTCCGGTTCATCACAAAGAACTTATGTATTTCTGTTTGGTAAAGGTTCTGGGTTCGAATCCCAGCATGGTCGACTCATTTTGGTCCCCCCTTCTCCCCTAAAGCTTGATCATCACCACCCATACTCTTTTTTATCTTGCCGATGAGCAAAACTCGTTCTCGAATGAATCTCACTGCTGCTTCAGCTATCTCCAAGCATCACAGGGTTGGGCCGGGACTGTTAGGTTGGAAGAACTACCTTCTAGGGTTGCCAGTCACGCCACCTGCCTCTAGCATAGCCATCCAGTCCAGCGCTTTTCAGTACCTTCTCCAGAAGTGCTGCAGTTTTTCTATTGCCCAGATCCGCAAACGGGATGTGCGTGTTTCCCTTGATACTGGCATCTAGTGCCAACATGAGCACTTCTGCGTTTCCTTCATATAAGTTGATCAGCTCCGCTGACAGTCTCGACTCTTGAACTTTCGTTTCATTGCGTTCTCTGTTTTCCCCCCAAACGTATTGAACCTTCTTAAGTTTGGCCAGCTTCTTGAAACCTTCAAGGGGAAACCACCACAGGCCCAAACCCGCCTTGCGTGTCAGCTGTGATGTTGATGTTGTCTGGAAAAACGAATCCAAAGCTCTCGTAGGCCACAATTGCCTTGATGTTGGTCGTGTTGCTTAAAACGGCCGTCAGCTGCGCGCGTAGACCCCCGGCTGAGTTGGTAAGGTAGACAATACTGTCAGCTACTTTACCGGAGTCGGCAGCGATGGAGGCCGCTCGAGCTTGCAGTACGATGTTTGCGTAGTTGTCAAACTCAAAGTAGCGTGCGCTGGTAGCCTGCTGCCAAGCGTGAAGGTCATGCGTCGGAAACTGCCCACCTGGGTACCAGTTGGGATACCGAGGCCCAAACTTCCAGTTGACAAAGTTCGCTTGGTCGAGAAATGTAGGTTCGTAGGTGTAGCTCCCGCAGCCCCAGTTCGCTCGGCCCACGCGAGGCCCATCCCAAAGAAAGACGGGGTAGTTGAGTCGAAGGAACATGTCCTTGAAACCCTGACCACCGTCCCATCAATTTTGCCGGACTTGGGTGAAAGAGCTGTGCCTATCGGTACCTTGGGTGGTTAGCAACAAACACCGGAATATGAGATCGAGGGAGAAATGCCTGCTGGTAGATCAGAGTAGGACACGGCAGATTAGTACATACCACATTACCAGACTTGTTCGGCGTGGCTTCCAGGGGATGAAATATTCCATATATCCATGATCACAGGAAAGAGTGTGCTGAGATGCGTTGCTGATGATTCTTCCGCCAATCTGAAACCCGCCAGATCTGTCGAGTATGATGGGTCGGTCCCAGTCTCGTAATGAAGGGCGAGTTGAGTCTGTGCTGAACAGAGGAATGGCCAAAAATGCGAGCAAGAGGGAGAAAGTCCCCATGAGCACCTGGTAAGCATCAGGAATAGTCGAACACTTGTGTCCATTCTCATTTACCTTAGGTAGGTTCAGCTCGTTCTAACAGCGACTCGCGAGAGATCTGCCGTCACTTTATGCGAAAGATTTGCAGTCTTGCGGACGAATGCCGACTTATTATACATCTGCATCTGATGAATGCCTTAGTAAGATGACTGCAGATCTTCCCGTGTCAATGTCTCTTGGCCAAGTATGAGATTGCAACATTTTTCAACTTTGAGTCTTTGATCCAACCAGCGCTTATGGCCAAGAAAATAGTCCAAAGCCTGGGGGAGAGCAGCCACATAGTTCTAGGTGCAAGGCGGCAGTAGCAATATTCATACCAGGTCTACCATCTGTCGGTAGTGAAAATGGTCTTGGATTATACCGTGCGTTCTGTATCTCAGTATATGTGCGGGAAGAATAGTGTGGACAGTCCAGGCTGCGTGGGTGGGATGTGGGAGCTGCAGACAGTCGAAGATCGGGGAAGAGGTGGGAGGTGCGGAAATCACAGGAGGGGGGGGAGGGGGAGTCGAATACCCTATCTCTAGCCTTGAGAGCGAGCATGGAGATGCGAACCTATCGAGTCGGTGCACTCAGACGGAAGAAAGCGTCGTACCGACGTTGACCTTACCTATCTCTACACCTGCATGATATCATGGTTTTTTTTTTCGGTGAAATAAGCAGTCATTAATTGATGAGAATGCTTCAGATGCTTCCCAATTTTATTCTGGAGGCTGCGTGTATCATTCGCTGTCTTGTGGTACATCAGGTGTACATTTTTTCGTAAGAACTGGGGGTAAGGTACGTAGACATTTTACCTAGTAGGTCACAGCCCTAAGCCTAAAGAGGTCGGGCAGCTGAGACGCCGGTGATTTCAGACCATGATATTTCCCAGCTGTCTGCCGCCTTTGCCTACCTCGGGTAGCTAACAGGACAACATTCATTCACTGACAATCTAAATTGTGGTATCATATGCTAGGTATCTATCTTCTATGGTCTATCAAAACTTGCCGCTAACATCTCAACCCAAGAAACAGATGCCGGTGTAACTTCCGTCGTCAGTGAATAGTACCTCCTTCTTGCGCGTCTCGACATCAACGATGTAAACGCTACCGCCGAGATCCGTGACAAAAACCCGACCCCTGGAAAGATCCAGTTTGAGGCCGATGGGCTCATGGAAGTGTCGAGCCAGAATTTCCGGTCTGCTCTTGAGTTTCCCGACAAACGCAGTGTTCAGAGAGCTCCCCCTTGGGTGCTCGCCTCGGTCAGTCCAGTACAGCGTCTCAGTCTCGGCGTCAATCTCGAGATCGATAGGCTCAGGAAGGTGCTCAAAGACAGGCTCGATATCGGATCGAGTGGCAGCTTTCTCGCCGGCCGGAATGTCGATACCGGCTCGGAAGATACGACCAGAATTCGATTTGCTAGGGCCCTTTTGTGTCCAGTAGATCTTCCCCCGCTTCTCATCGACTGTGATACCAACGCACCAGCTCGGGATCGAAACGAGGTCGGCCACATTGTCAGAGGGCGACGAGCGCTGCACCAAAACCTCGTGGTCCTGCCCATCTAAGCCGACGCGATGTACTCCCATCCCTTCACGGTCACAAAAGTACAGTTTCTCTCCAATAACGATTGCTTGTTTGGGCGTGAAAACACCGCCGGGAGGAATGACGACTTGCACATCAGTACCGTCAAGTTTGGCGGACATGACGGAGCCATCGCGTGCGGATGGGTGAGCGCCCATGTTGGTCCAGTACATGCGTCCTGTTGAGGGCGCAATATCGATGCCATCGGGAGCAGGAAGGCCCGTAACAAGCGTCTCAACCTTGCCAGTATCTCCATTACGACGAATAATCTTCCCGTTCGTCGACACGTGCTCCATCTTATCGAGGTTTCCGCCAAGACCGACATCCAAGAAATACAAAGTCGGCTCGGTGGGCTTTGCGGGAACGGGAGCAACTGACGGGTAGAGACCACCCGCATCACCACTCTTCAATCCCAGGCGACCCTTGTTGATGTAGTTCTCCCGAAGCCAATCAACAGTTAACGTGGGATCAAGCCTGCGTTCGTTGATGTAGTTGTCCTCGATAAAGGCAACAGTATCGAGGCCGACTTGGTCCATCAACTTTCCTGGAAGGACTTCTGCTTTGAACATGTGTTCCCAGAGGCGATCAACCTCGGCGATATCGCTGACACCTTCAGCAAGAATCATGAGAATCTCACGCTTTATTGCGGCCCAAAGACGGTTAAAGATAAACCTGGAAACAAACTGCATCAGTCTCAAATCACAGACTTGCAGGATAGCAATTCGGAGGGACGCGTGGACAACGGGATAGAACGTACCCAGTTGATTCCTTTCTGGCCGTTGCAGGCAACATTCCGCACCTGGTCAACACATCGCTAAGAAATGGAAACACGGCAGGGTCGGTCTCTCCGTCCGTCATGAGTTCGACGGTGCGAATGTTTGGCTAGCGGAGGTCAGCAGTTGTTTGGACGGCAGGACTTTACTTGGATTCTACTGACTGGCATTGTGTAATGCACATTGCAAATAAGGCGGCGGCGATCTGGATTTGCGACCTTGGCTAGCATTAAGCTGGATTTGAACGAGGAGCTATTGGAACCCAAGATGCAGTCCGCAGGCGCTTTTGCATCGAGTTCCGCGAAAGTATCGATCTTGAGCTCAATCTTCTCGGGGACGGCCTCGATGACAAGCCATGCTTCCTTCACCGCTGTCTCGATATCCTCTGAAGCCGAGTACGATCCGGGCACAACTATTCCAGTAGTCTTCGGAAGGTTTTGTTGGTATGGGATTTTGTTCTCGTCGATGTATTGAATGGCGGCTTGTCTGGCCTCGGCCGATGGGTCGCGGATGTGGACATTGTAGCCCCCGGAAACGAAAGTACACGCGATTCTCCTTCCCAATACACCGGCTCCGAGAACAGCAACAGGGCGAGAAGAGATAACAGGAGGTTGCCAGGCCATGTTGGAGAAGTATGGGCGTTCAAAATATGTGTCTGTCTACATTCGAATGGTCGAACCTACACGCACATCCACGCAGCAGCTTATACTCTCCAGACTTATCATGATATGGAAGACGAGACCCCTTTTGGCCACTCCGATGAAGCCGCCTCTCGGCCATGACTCCAAAATCCGCGTTCACGCTTCACCATGCGTTATCCGAACACCGTGTACCGCGTTAGGGGTACTGGAAGACATGGGAACCCGGATCTTCGCATGAACTCACCATCTCCCATATTACAGAAACAAGCAGGATCGGGAAACTGAGCGCCGTTGAGCCGATTTGTTCTTGAGAACCCGACATTCCATCCGGCTCGACCAGCTCCGGTTCGGCCTTACGTCCGCGATTTGAAGTAGTGGAGAATGCGCGATTCCGACTTAATGACGGCGATACCCAGCTTAGGATTTGCGAGCTGTTTCATTTATGGCGGATGTTCCCGCTTCCCACCTGCGGCCTAGGGGGTCATGGCAGGGTTCTCCCTGAACCCCAACTCAACGGCGACAAGTCCCTCACACGAAACTTGAAAGTCGAAAAGTCTGGGAGGGAGATTTCTCGGCATTTACAACACGCTAAAAAGTTTGACGTCATCTTAGACTGGCCCAAAATGTTATCTTCTGCCAATATCGTCTT